CCTTCTTAAGGATTTAGAAAAACTTCTGACTTCTGATAAGGATAAAGAAGATTTTAATCCCATACTTGACAGCCAGGAAGATTTTTCATCTTTCTTGCAATCATAGTGTGATGCCTGAAATTAAATAAAAGATACTGGAGTAGACAGAGAACGGGATGTTCTCAAACTAAAGGTTAGCAGGTAACAGGTATGTGGAAAGGGTCCTTTGATAACATAGAAAAATCACATGTTGCTAGATCTCATCAGCGGAACAAATCTGAAATACAATTACTGATTGTAGAGGTACATTCTCTTTCTTTACAGTTAGAAAACACCCACAAAATAATTAACTCCCATCATTCAATGCAAACAGTAATAAGTCTTTCCCTCACCCACTAGGCAGAGAAGAGAAAAAAAAAAAAAAAAAGCTTTAAGGACCTTCTCAATCCTCAAAATATGTACTTAGATAGTATTTGACATAAGCCTTATTATTTATTATGCCTGTGAAAGTAGTTTATCCTGATGACATACAGATTATTTTTTTCTTACTTCTGCACTTCCGTATAAGCAATTCACAGATCAAGCATTTGCGCTAACAGACCCGGCTAAAAAATTAACAACTCCACTATAAATGCAATAGGCACAGAGACAGCTTTGCAGAGGTGCTCTGCAACACAAAGTGAAGGAGAACAGTTGTTAAGGGCATTATATATTACAAAGCCTATCTAAAATACATTTTGTTCCATTTAATGGCCATTAATGGCAACTGGTTAGGATTTAACCTGGCCATGAGAAGAAAAGTTATTTCACGATGATGAACCCTGGTGCTTCTGTACCAAAAGGGATGGCCACCAACCTCTTTCTGCACTGGATTAGGTGGTTCTCCAGTCTGATTTGCTAAATATCCACATCCTATAAAAACATCCTCCTAGTCATACATCACATTTTGAAACTTCTTTCTACAACAGAGCTCAAAAGCCTCACAGAGTATGAAGAAGACCTAGCACACTCAGCCCACCTAACTTATTCCCCCCCCCCCTTTATTAAAGGAAAAAAGAGGTCAAGAGTTGTATTTGACAACTCTGACTTGCAGCACTTTCTGCTCAGCTCGCAGATTTTATTTGCATATCTGAAATGCAAATTTCCATATGGCAAAGCCTCAGCTCCTAATAAGATTTTCCTTTGGTAACAGGAGCTGCTGCAAAGTAGCCAGAATTAGGCAGCTAAAGGCAATGAGGCTGCAGCAGCTGCTCTATGCTGATTGTAAAGGAAACTAAACTAAGGCAGTTAGAGCTAAGGATGCAGCCTAAGGATTTTTAAGTAAGCAAATGTAAACACTAAGGGAATGTCTTCCCATCTCAGGGAAACCTGGCAGACACAGAGAGATCACCAGGTCTGAGTCAATCTACCAGCCTGAGTGCACTTCTCATGTCACAGGACTTTTTCCTCAGTCAAAAATTGGCAGTCTAGTCAGACTACTGGCTCATCCAGTCCACATAATGTTTCTTAAAAGTGGACATTATTTGCTTCTCCATTCACACCTTAATAAGCAAATTCAAAGGGTTTTTTTCCTTAAAACCAAGCAAGCAAGAGACTGCTGAAACAAGTTCATGCCCAAGAGTATGAGGATTCTTTTTTTCTTTCCCGCCCTCCCCAATGGATTATGCAGTATAATGTCTTCCACTCACGTCTCATGGATGTCTAAATCGCCTCAATTCTCACAAAACTTTTTGGCTTAACAATCTTAAGGTTCAAAACAAGCATCAATTCTGTGATAATAAGGACAGGGGCAAAAAGCTAGACATGGGGAGCAAAAAAAACCACCATTTCCTTTTCTTTGGATTTAGTTTCACTGAACATAAATTGCTTACAAGAGATATTTGACCTTTCCATTCCTTCATGCCCTCCTCCCCTCCCTACCCCTTTTCTTTTTGATCCCTTCAGAAAGGCAAAGTGACCCATTTTCTTCCACATACTTAAAAATTGGTTGCACCAGTCTGGATTCAGTATCTACAGAAACATCCTATTTTGATCTGAAAATTCATGTTTGTCTTTCTTACCCCCTTCACAAATTAAAGTAGTAATTAAGCCATGGTATCTCGTCTCATTCCTGTGAGATTTGCTTGTCTCCTCATTGCTCACTCACGCTATTTCATCATGTTTTTCTACATTCCTTGATAAGCTTGCCTAATCTTAACTAAATTAAATGACTTTTTTTTTAATTATTATTGATAATTTCACCATTCTACTTACTTTAATTGAAAAATACACATTTTTTCAACATAGCAACTCTTTCCTTCTCAAATTCTATTAGAATACTTGGGAATATCCTAGACAGCTGGCTGTCCTTCAAGGCACAAGCTTGAGCATCTTTCTACTTAATATGTTACATCCTAACATTGATTCATTCAAAAGTTTTTATTTCCTTTAAATATCTGTTAGAGGAGCAACTGTTTCACTTATTTCCTATTTTTGATAAGATGACACACCTTATCAAAATTACAAAGTACACCATCTGCTTCACAGACCTACCATCACCCTTCCGATTTCCTTCTTATATGCTGGCCTAAAGTATTTCATGGGTTTTTTTTTTTTTGGTTTTGCTAGGGTTGAATTCCCTTTTTCTGAAGAAACTCTGATGACTCAGCCTCGGTGTATTATGCCCTTCTGCTTCCTTTTTTTCCTTTACACATACACATCCGTTCTGAGACTCGATGTTATTTAAACTTCTATAATCTATATTTAACTATTTAAGCTTCTTTGCTTCTGAAGTTAAATTCTTGAGAACACCCTTCTCTAAAGAGGTAGGAGGAAGGGAATTAAATCCACTTAACCACACGCATCAGTATCACAAATGATTAAGCAGCACTTAATTGTTTACTTCTCCACAAATTCTTTAGGCTTACCTGTGTGATGCCCGGCATTACTGACCAACTGAGTTACTGCTTGAGGTGAAGTTTTGCATATTGTTTAGGACAACATCTAGAGAAGCTCTTACTTATTGCCAAAATTATTTGTGGGGAAAAAGAAAAAAAAAAAAAAAGCAATTGGGCAACTACTAGCAGCCTCAGTGTTCACAACAGCGCCCCATATTGCCTGTATGAGTGAGGACAAACATCTGTGCCTTACTTTCCTTTGTCTATTTATAAACATTTTCAAAACACTTTTGAATCAGACCTAATCTTTTCTGCCTTTAAATAAACAAAGGGGAGGGAAAGACGAAGATGTTAATTGATGTTTGTAAATCATAGCTGACATGCCTAAGTTGAAAGAACTAAGATTGCTAGAATAAAAATTTAGCAAAGCCCAATCATTCCTCTCTATTTACTGCATAAAAAGGCAGGCATTCAAAGCTAAAGGAACAGGTTGAAGCACAGAGTATCACTACTATCCACAGATGCTTTTTAATGTAATTTTATATCACAACATATTTATAGATGTATTTTAACAGACTAGTCTTACCCAAGGAGAGTTTAGATATTCCTAAGCATTATTTCCATTACTGTCACACCAAGAAATGCCAGGTGAAGATCACAGTTGAACTGCATTAACAACCAGACAGACAAGTGAAAAGGAGAACTCTCCTAGTCTTGCAAAGTGTTGTACAGACGTTTACAGCTCTTCAGTGTGGGTTTTCAAAGAAAAAAGCTGGGGCACAGGAGAGAAGCAGTGAAGCCTCCATAGAGAGCAAGCCGTGTATGTACATTTGTGTGTTTAAATGACTGTCTCAGCAGAATTGAATTAAATTTCACTGCTAATCCTTAATGACACTGTTATTTTTAGTTTATATCTCAAAATTCACAGTGAAGAGTAGTGCAGAAAATGAGTGTCTCAGGCACCAGAGCTGAGAGTTAGACTTTAATCCTACATCTCCAAACTAAGCTTTAAATGTTCTGGTCAATAGCTACTTAGCCTACTGGGAGCTCCGTTTATGTTCTTATTAAATATAAACGATACTCAAGTAAAACACAAAACTCACCAAAGCAGAGAACAAAAATATTATTCTACAACTAAAGCAAAACAGAAGGGAGGAATGTGTGGTTATTTTTATGCAACTCTATGGACTCTCTACAAAATATTTCATCTTGGCAGTTCCTTTGGTCAACTGAAGCAAATGTCCACGTGGTAACACCTAAGTGGTGCTCGGAGGAAAGATGCCTCTACTGCTCAATATCCAGAGATGGAAAAATACACAACTCCCAGATTGTCCTCTTAAATTCAAAAACTAAATCCCAATCTCTGTTTCCACAGAAGTGGCTTATGATGCTCCAGCAGCACCAGAGCAAAAAGATACTTCAGTCTACATTTCAGCATTGAACGAAATATGAGCAAATACAGCAACCTGGTCAATAAGAAAAAGTAAACTCTGTGGGACATCCCACGGATGCTTTTCTACAATAAATAATAATAAAATAAATAATACTCTTGCCTAAGTAACAAATTGAGGAGCTGTCTCCCCTTGCTGGTGCCCATTCGTTGCACTCTCTGTCCTGCCCTGGCAGCAAGCACCAAGGCTGCCTCATTTCCAAAGCAAGCAATACTATAAACCTGGGCTTTCCAAAGACCAAGTCCAACAAAACACACATACAGGATTTTATCAAAGAAAAATAAAATACCTTTTCACAACATACATACACATAACACACCCATTCGCCACATCTCCACATCCCCGGGGAACAAAGTAAACCAAAGGAGATACACAGACATCTAACAAACTTCCCAAAGAGCATTTGCTTGATTAGATCAAGGCCTGCTCTTAAGGACCCAAATGCAAAGTATTTATTTATTTTGTTAGAGCAAGGATTGTTTTTTCTTCCTGTTTACTGTACGAAAAATCAGTGGTTTATGTAGCATAGCTAAAACAGCAAATAAACTTGTTTTTCTCTGAGGCACTTAAAGTCAACTGATATCTGCACCATCTGATAGTGTTTACAATCAACTCTTTCCTTTCTTCAGTGTAATTTAATCTGCACCTGAAGTACAGATACTCCTGAATTTAAAGACTTAAAGCAATGCAGTACAGAAGGGCTCATCCTCATCTTCCCCTTCATGTGTCAGCTGGAGGGGAAGAGAAGAAAAAAGGCAAAAAATAAAAAAATAAAAAGCAATTTGAGGAAAAAAAGGAGTTGCACTGGTCAAATATTTAGAATTATAAAGAGGGTGTCCTGATCTCCTCTGACCAAGCACACATGGAGTTGTTCTTGTTTTGTTTCAATCAGTGCTCTTACACAATATGTTATTTTAAGAGCGCTGAAAAACAATGCAATGCACAAATGCACATCTTCATTTACTAATTTTTAGCAAGAGGTTCTCCCTCCCCTCCCAACCCAAAGCACCAAGGGAACATTCAACAAACCCCCAGTAAGCAAGCAGGAGTTAGATGTACTTATTAGACAGAATAACCAGCACTGTGGTTTCAATAGGCATTAATTTATAAAGCTTCAGATTGTTGAACAAGTATTCTAAAAGTATCCAGAAAGAGAGTTTTCAATTCATATACAGTGAAAGAAATGTTTTTTTCTGCTTCTTTACAAATACCTAGCCACAAGTAAAAAATCATGACACTAAATACAGTCATCACAATATCAGGGAACTAGAGCATTTAAAAAAAAAAAAAAAACTGTAATTACTTAAAAGCAAAACAAAAAAGGCTACCTGAAACAAATTGTAGTGGAATTCAATCCCCGAGTCTGCAGCACAAGGTCCTATGTGATCTCACCAAACACCTGCAGCAAAGAAAAGCAAGATGCAAAAGCTCCTGGTCCCCACCCAGCAAGTTGTTTTAAGCACCTGCCCACAGCTGGGGGAAATAAAATGCATCAGCCAAGCACGGCACTGCAGGGATGGAGTGGATACTACAAAATACTCTCTGCAGCCTGAATTTTACGTTTACTTATGCATTTATACACAGAAGGTATGCACATGGGTAGCACCTGCAAGCAAAAAAAAAAATATTTGGGAAAGTAACCATCTTCTATGACCTTCTTGTGCTTAATGATAAGAACAGCTGAACAGTGTAATCAGATAAATTAGAGGAAGTAAGAGGCCCCAAATTGAAGCTTGTGACTATTTTTTTCTAAAAATTAAAGGCTTTTAAATTTCAGCATATATCTTAATTTAATTTTAATTCTATTTAGAATTAAGTTGTATCCCCTCCCTAAAACAGAGTAACACATAATCATAAACTGAAGGCTCACATTCTGTGAGCTGCTAGGACATTTTTGGAAGACCACAGTAAAAGCTTCTAAAAATCATCTCTCTCAAAAATGCTACTTTTCCAAGCTTTAAACTCAAATAATTGATGAAGAGTACAATTATTATGCATACCATTCCTTGTAAATAAAAAAGCAAAATTTTAAAATCATGATTTGATAACATGCTCTATACACAGTGACATATACAAGCTATACATGTATTTTCACGTAATTGTGCTTTGGTAACATTGCACTCATGCTAAATACAGTGCTTTTTATCACTCATTGATCAAACAATGCCTTTTTAACTATACTTCTGTCTTAAGAAATGATGCATCTTCACAGAAAACTTGATAAGAGCTTGTTCAGTTGGAATGTCTTGCAAAGACCCATGCTGAAAAATGGAAAGTTTTTGATCCCAGTGCCACCATCAGTATCCTGCAAATGACTGTTCTGCTCATGCAGACTCCTACCAGCTCCATCTAATACTAAGATACAAATCAGAATCATGTTTGTACCAAAGACAATTTTTATGCCTATGCCTAATACCACAGAAATTAACTTAAAGCTCAAAGAAGTGTTTCTTAAACTGATGTACTTGCAAAGAAATTATTAGCTTATTAGTTATGATTAAAGCACTAACCACATACTACAAAAAGAATTAGTATTACTTTTAAAAAACGACAGAACAAGATGTTACAAAACTTCTGTAACTTCAAGGTGATGGTTATACACAGGGGCACAAATAACCAACAATTAAGAGATCTGCTTAAATGTCACCTCCCCTCTATAGACATGAACTAAGGTTACTCTGTCATGACTCTTCAGTCCCAGCATCTTTCTTAAGTCCCACTCTCCCTTTTGCCACTGCCCTCCCTACAGCAGCAGGCAGAGGTGCACGCAGTGCTTTTCACCACATACAGTGCCCTCAGCTATAAACTCTGATGAAGTCACATAATATTCTTTTACAGGTGATGTTCTGATCATCCAATTTGTTAAAATAACTTATTTTTGGCACACTGAAAATTAATTCTCAAGGAAGTGCCTTATACAAGGGAGTTTTCATTGATCCATTTAATTAATCTAACTGCTTGCAAAGTCAATGTATGCATATAGTTGTATCTTTTGACCCTTAGAGCTAGTAGGCTTACTTAAAGGGCATACAAATACATCTTTGTTATTGTGCAAACTTTCAGAGTCCAAATTAAACAAGAAGAAAAAAAATATGCAAGAAGTAATTGAGCTAGTGAGGTTAAAAAATAAATATACTGGCTGAGAGATGACAGTAAGGGTTACCTGATTTATATCCACATCTGTGCATAATTTTGAAATAGCAGGTAGTCATATACCTGTCAACACATTCCATATAATCCAAAGCTGCACCGCATAGAAAAAACCTCTAAAACAGCAATACTTTCCAACGATGATGATGATGGGAGGCAGCAGCATGAAGATACACTTCCATGTAACTGGTACACAGGCTCAAACACTATTGTGAAACACGTGAAATCCCCACAAGTTTCCACCCCCAGCCCTGTTTCTAACACTCACACCTGACAAACTCATTACAGCAGTTCACCCACTCCAGGGACAACTTTGCAGAGTGGGGCTCAGCTGCACACGCTGGGCAGCAGGGATGAACTTACACCTTTTTTCCATGGCACAGCAACACTGCTTTCCCGATGCAGGTACACTCCCCACATTTGGGTGGTGGGAAAAATGCTTGGAGGTCTGGGAAGCTCACAGACATCAACCCTTTCTCTGGTATGATTCCCCATCCCTGTTTTTCTCCTCCCCACTGCATGTTCACAGCTAAATGCTTTTCAGCTGTGATTTTCCATCACCCATTAAGATTGCCCTGCTGGGCAGAAACAAGTCCCTTGCAAAATGCCTCTATCCAGCCCTGCTACTTGACTTATTTCCCAGTTCCAACGAGTCCAAGCAGCCCTGGGCTTAGTCAAATCAAACTCCAGGTCATTTTTCAGCTGAAGAATAATTTACAAAACAAATTCTGGCTAATAATGATTTGCCGTTGTCATATTTTTCAAACCTAAGAAAGAAAGACTTGAAATTTGAGTCATTTTAAAAATAGTTCCAATATGCTCAACCCTTTAATTTGTGATTTTACAGTCATTCATTTCCCTCCAAACCATTCTTCCTCAATTGCTTTTCCGATAAAGCTCTTCCACACACAATCACTGCAATGAGGCTGAAGAAATAACCTAAGTTTGCAGTGAAAAAATAACTCAAAACAGATGCAATTTTTTTAGATTCTTTCCAATTCCCTTTTCTTCCTTTCCAGTCTGAATCGCTCTGAAAGTACTAATCTCAAAGTGAGTAAAGAGAAAAAAAAAAAAAAAGAAAAAGAAAGAAAAAAGGCATCATCTGCTGGACTACATCCTTTTCATAAATGAGTTCTTAAAAGCAATGATGCTTTTTTAAAAGACTGCATTACTGATAACTTCCCTTCTGCTGTTCAGTTTCCCATTTATCCGTGTTATGTAAAGATTGGAGAGAGGAGAACATATTCAATTATTTCTAAAAGCTGCAGGAAAGACTGGCTGGATCTCCAGTGCAGTGGACAATAGCGCTACTCGAATGGTCTGACTGCAGCTCTTTTCGAGGGGTCTTCTGTTTAATGAGATTAATGGGATAAAAATCTACCTTCCACTACGCAAGGGAAGTGCTTGGTACAGGGCTGAGAATGCAGCACACCAACAAGCCAAAATCTACTGCCAGCCAATAGGCATGATCCCACAAACAGCTGATGTTCCCAAAAGCCAGTTTATCACCTAACACTTGCTCTGATGGGAAATCAGGAGGGGAAAAATCCATGACTGCAAACACACCACAGCACTTGTGACCTGCTTGCACACAAGGACTTCCACCTCAAGATCAATCTGTGTACTGGTCCCTCGTGGGCAAGACCAGATCGCTGAGACTGGAGCTGCATGGGCTTCCTGTGCAGAAGCGAGCGCCCAGGCCAAAGTGCTCTCAAGTGGCACTTTTCCTCCTGAGATGCCCTTGGCCTTTTGCCTCCCTCCACACACACGCTGTATTCTGCCATGATAATCCTGTGAGGGATTTATCAGCATGTTTAAGCAAATGTTGATACCATTCACCTTGTTTTGCCCCCATCAGTCCAATCTCGCTGTGAAACATCTTGAGATAAAACCAGGGAAGAAACAAGCCATTGTTTAAAGAGCGGCATCTGATGGCTGGCCAAAATCCCAAGAAAATCTCTGACAAACACAGTCCTGTGGAAAAAACTGCCCTTCTATAGCACAGCTGATACAACCACCTTCCCTCCAGGATCAATGTCCTCCTGCTGTCCCTGGGAGGCAGCATTGATGTGTTTGGGAACTGGGAGGACCGGACATGCTGGGCCAGATCCTCAGCTGATGTTCATCAACGGGGCTCTGTCCACGAGCTCTGCGCCACATCACATCTGGCCTGCTGTGTTTTTGTTTCATGTACCAAAAAAAACTTTTGAGTAAAGCAAAGCCTATTGTGATAGCTTTGATTTATGTCAGTGGGCTGCCTTCAGAGGAAGGCTGTTTCCGCGGGTGGTAGTTTCCAAGTTTTCAATCTGAAACCAATATATTCTAGTCTCAGAAAATAATTGTTTTTTCTTTAGAAGGAATAAGTACATTTTAGGATGTTCTCTTTCTATAGTTCATGTTAGCATTAGGGTACTCACTGAAATTTACTACCAAGTTTGAAATCTGTTCATTATTTAATTTCCTAGTAGGTTGAAATGAGTAATACGAATCTATATCAGTAAAAATTCTAGGGATTAGGAGAACTAAAAAATCTAGGAGAACTGAGATTTGCTTATTTCTTTATTGAGCTTATAATGACATACAAACAAGTTCTTTTAAGACACACTGAGCATCTTCAAGAGATTTTAAAAATCCTGAGGACAAGATGACAGAGACAGTAACAAGCTTATATCCAATAAACTGCAACTACACATCTTACCTAGGCTAAATGCATGGCTTCTTTTTAAACTATTTCTTTCAAAAATATTATTTTGCTTTAAGGATGCTTTCATTTGTGAAAGGCAGAGGGAAAAGTGAGCTCTCTAAGATCTCTGAAAATGATATCCACTTGAACAGTAATGTCATTTAAAGTCCTTTAAAGTTACAGGCATTTGCAAACAACAGGACTATAAATCAAGGAGACTGAGGTGACCAAACTTGGGTGCAATGCTAGAATTTAATACACTAGAGCACTAAAAGAGCAAGGTCTGTCATAAAAAATGGAGGCTGGGACCTGTTGCAAGGAAGGTAGTTAACAACAGGTAAGAATCTCAGTCCAGACATTTGGAAAACCTTGCATCTACTATAAGACTTTCTGCATGGGCTATACAAAAGATACTAACCTGGGCGTGATTTACACATGCACGGATAAAAGGGAAAAATGCAGCTAAAGAATCAAAAGGGGAGGAAATCTTTCAATAGGAGGAATGGCATGTCTTCTGAGACATTTAATGGCAAAACTACAGTAGGCTGTATCAAGCAGGTACTGCAAGGACACTGTCAGAAACATGGAAAAATGGTTAAAGCAACACTTTTAATCAGTCTTGCAGAGCTGCAGATTAACATGTTGAACGTGCCTTGTTTTCATGCAAAGTTAAACCAGCTACATTGATAATGATACATAAATGTCAGCTCCAGCAGCTTTTGATACTTCCCTAGTTGCAAAAAAATAAGTAAATACCAAAAAAAAAAAAAAAGAAAGAAAGAAAAGAGCTAGTATAATACTGCAAATTAGCTAATATGCAAACAGTAACTACTATGTGCACAGACAGAAGTTTGGGGGGTTGGGGGGGAGTACTTAAACCCCAAGTGTGGCAGACTTCGATCAGTGCCTGAAGATGCCAGCGTTCACCAGCTTTCAATGTGCCGCCTGTTGGTTTGTCAAGTGTCATGTGTGAAAATGCCTTCTGAATCAATGAGGCACATTTAAACAGTCAATACTGTATGGCACCAGAAATGCAGGGTTTAAAGAGATACACATTAGTTAAATGGTTTAGAAAAAGAGTGTGACACTTAAACCCTGGGGCAGGAAAGGGAAAAAGGAGAGAGATTAAGTAGTCATATCTAATGCTAATGTTCATTGAACTAGGAAGATCATACAGCATTGTGGTTTACACAAAAACAGAAAAAAAAAGTGAATTATAATATTTGTTTTAAGGCTATATGACAATTGCTCCATTTAAAAAGTCTGAAGCTCTTAACAAGTTACTTTAGGATTTTAGCCTGTTAAGAACTGCCTTTTTTTTTTTTTTCAAAGTATCTGACCTTTTTTTAGGAGAAATTTTACTCATATGCACCAACCTTGGCTGAACCAGGAACATGCCTACCATTTTCCTCTTTGTTTGGAGATCTCAACCTAAAAAACTTCAAACATATCTGCATAGAAAGAGCAAATGAATTTAAAGGCATTTTTTAGAAGTAGTATTTTTCAAAGGTTGCATCACCTCTACTTTACCTATTTATAAATAGATCTGTGCCAAAAATCATAACAACTTTTCTGAAAAAACAACAGAATAACTTTCAATGAAAAGTTGCACTGGATCACAAAGCTTTAATCATTCAACAACGGATCTAGAAGAAACTAGCCTGTTTAAAATAGCCTGTTTTTTTTAATGCAATGCAAGTATCTTATCTTTCAATACATTTCAGTCACTGCAACTGCCTTCGGCAACCCAGACTATAAAGAAGACTACAGACTATAGGCATAGCATAGAAATTACTACATATTAAGTATTCCATATTTACCCAACAACTATTATTCTGTAGGAACAGATACCATGACTCATCCTATTTGTAATAATATTTGGTATTCCTTCAATTACTCTTTACTTTTTAAAGTAAATAAAACCTCCACTTGTCATCTCTGCCAGACTCCTGCAGGATTTCACTTAAATGCATTGACAACTCTTTTAGCAGCTCCTAATGCAATTTCTCCTCCCTAAAATCCATCTTCACTTTTACCTGGATTAATGTAGCAGAGTAATCCTCCTATGTTTAAGTTTTCACTTAGCTTGCCTTTTGTATTCTGTTAGCCCAGGTTCACCCCAAGGAATACAGTTTGCCCCAACACGCAAGGCTGTGCTGACAGGAGGCAACTGCACTTTCCCCTATAGTATCTCCCTTTCTTTGAGTTTTAATTCCTCATAACTCCAGCAAATTAGTTCCACATTGGCCAGTATTCTCTACGCGGGATTTCTACCCAAAGGCAATTTCTTTGGAAATGTTGAACATAATTGGTTTAGCCATTTTGGGTTAAGCTGTCTCAACCTACACCACCCAGACGTTTTTCTCATACGCTGAACAGAAAACTGATGCGCTGACATTACTGAATGAACTACCCATTTTTGCGTTAAAACACAGTTTTAGTCATAATTAACTTCAATATTTTAGTAACATATACACATTCTACCTTTCCTGTGTCCTACAACTGCACACATGGGCAAATTTTGTCAGCTTGTGACTGTTTTGATCAGAAATTATCAGCTCCTAAAAGGAGCAAGGTAATTTTTGTCTTGTAGAATGATTTATACAGGCACTTCCAAAGAACCAAATCCAGCAGATACTGTAGGAAATTTGAGACTAAAGGTCCACAGAGAGGAGGTGGCTGCGGTGACAGCGTCTTCCTGAGAGGC